TGAAACTCGTGGGGCATTGTCATAAAAGACAAAATGTTTCAAAGGCAACTGAGGGGGTACTCCCGTGGTGGGTTTGAAAACCATATTCCGAAACTTATCATAAACTTTCCCAAAATCAGTTCTCAACTACACTTAAAATATGTACCTCATTCTGTTAAAAACTAATGTCCAAGATTCATCATTTTCAAGCCACTGAGTATATATATGAATTTTAAACATATAATAAGATATTTAATTCATATCTCATCCACACCAAAATCCAGTTAATAAGCATTTTCTAACTTTACCCATCCAAACATAGTATAATACCCTTAGAAAGTAAAAGCGATTACCTAATAACCCATAAACATTTGAATAATCCAATATCACCCAATCATACACTTTAATAATACTCATAATAATAATAAACAAATAAAAAAACAAGATAAACTTCAAATATCAGAATAACACCCAAGAATATCATCAAACACTAAAACATAAACTCAAAATCCAAACATAATCAAAATAGTTCACAAACAGTAAAACCTCATTTACACGGTCGTTCTAGCACTACTCGAAGGGTGAAACTACCTCGGAAGATTCACGGTCAACCGAGGGTCAAACTTTCTATATTGGGTCAACTGGGCCTGCGAGGCCCACAACCTCCCATTTCCGATCCGAGAGTTCCTACGAGTTCAACAAGGTTTACTATACTTGTCCGGTAAGTTTGGTCCGAATCGAACGATCGGGTCGCTCACGATCGCACGATTGGATGATTATCGTTTATCTAAACTTTGAATTATTGAACTGGAGTATCCGGGACTCCGATTCTTGATTCGCGAATTTCTACACGATCCTAGAGGTGCCTAGATCAACATATTTGAAAATGAAGTTGATCCAACGGTTCGAACATATCGAACTTGGATAACGTCTAATATGCGATATTCGATCGACAGTCAAATGGTAACCAAATTGAAATCCGAGCATACGATCGTGCTCGGGACGACGTGGGGATCATTTTAGGACAAAAAACCAACCTTGACACCCCACCACCACGCCGCCACCGCCGGCGGGTGTCTAAAGCAATTTTCCGGCGATCAGAAAACTTCAAACCGCCAACCAATAATCATACCTATAGATCAAACACATCAAGGGGAGTAACGTTATACCTTGGCTCGAAGATCAATTCCACCTTTAAAGCCCTCAAACGAACGATTTTGTCTTTGTGTTTACCCGTTTAGATTTGTTTTCGGTAATGATAGGGTAAAGTTCCCCATTAATTCAAAGACCATTGTTTGGTCAATAAATTAACTTTCTTTATGTGTTGAGCGTGCCACCGTTAGCAATTTTTTCAATTCTAACAGACTCGAGAGTAAAAATAACTTGCGCCCCAAGCTATTGACTTTGAACAAACGATTGTGAATTTGGGTGAGGAATATCTCCCAAGTAAGTTCTTTTCTATGCCTTAGACTGGTAAGGACTTTACAATTTTCCTCAATATAAAACCGGTAGTTCTAGCCAGAATAACTGATAACAGACTGAACTAATTCCAGGCAGAACTCCCCTTTTCAAGACTCAAAAAGGGAAAACTAACTATACAAAAACAAAAGGAGGGCTGTACTTCCATTTCTGGTTGGGTAGTTGCCTTTGTTCTGGACTGGACTGGATGTTAAACAACTTCAACTGTTGGACTTCGGCTGCAAATCGATACCAAAGCTTGATTTTGGCAGAGCTTTAATTCATTTCAAAACCTGGGAGGCTTTTGGATGGACAGAACTGGGACTTCTCCAGTTTGAAAGGGACAGAAGTGGCAGGACTTGAGCTGGAGGTGTACTGTGGTACCTGTGCTGTTTAGTCAGGGCTCTCCATAAATTTGTTGAGTTTTTCGTTTTGAGAAAACTCAAATTCTGCTTGTCTTGGCTTTTGCTGAACCAAATTTGTAACGAGAGAAATCTCGTTATTGTTGATTTGTGAACTGAGGTTCAAATCCGAAACAGTATTCTAACTGTCTTTGCTAGGAGAAAACAGGATGATTCTGCAAGCTTGTTGAGAAGCTTTGGAATTGAAGTGCTTCAGACTCTAAGTCTGCTGGACTTAGTTTGGAGTTTTTGTGATCAAGTGATCATTTGAGTGTTTGTCCTTTGACTGGGTTTTTTGGTTGTGTTGATTGATTGTGTTGATTGGTTGTTGTTTTTTTCTGTTCACCCTCTCTTGTATATATAAGAAATGTTCTTTGAGAGTGGGCGGCAAGTAAAAAGATCTTCTTTTAATTTTTAATTGAAATAAACAGGGGTTCCATCCATTTTCTGGCGAGTAAACACTCAACGATCAGTTCCTGAAATGACTACTTCTCTGTTTTCTTTTGATGGGGTGTCGTGCCCTTCTTCCATTTCAACTGCTTTCTGAGAGTCTGAAAGTTTGAGATAGTAAGTTCTCAGTTTTTGAACAGCTCCCTGTTTCCCGCTTATCCCCTTTTCACAGAGGCAGAGTCTGCTTATCCCTTGAAAATGGTGTTTTCTCTGGAACAGGAAATATCTTTTGAATAATTAAAACGGGATTTGATCTCCTGGCAACTGAGTTTTTTCAGAGACGTTCTTCTTTTATACCTGCCCCTGTTCAATCTTTTATTTCAGCCGATTTTGTTGACTTTTCTAAGTCAGGGATCACATGGGACTGTTTAAAAGACCAGTTGGGTTTAGTTTGCTCTGAGCCCAATTCTAGTTCTTCCGAGGCCCAAGTCTCTTTTCTAATTTCCACTGTTTCCAGGCCTTCGACGTTTTGGGCCGAGTTCATTGTTTTGGCATGTTTACTTGTTAACGGGCTGGGCGCGTTTGATGGATTGAGGGTGCCAATTTTGGGCCCAAATAGGCGACTTTAGAAGAAATGATGTGGGCCTTTGCTTTTGAACTGGGCGTGCCAAATTTAAGCCCAAACACTTTGAAAAACCTAGAAAGTTTTGGGTTGGGATTTGACAATTTCTACTTGAAATTGGGTTGGGTCTTTGAGGGAAATTACAAAGGGAAGGTAGGGGAGTGTTTTGGAAATGATTTGGTGGCGGGTGGTGGCCGAAGTTGGCCGGAAATGGCGTCGGTGGTCACTGTTTCCAAATAGCCAGATTTTGGCTCAGTTTTGGCTCGAATTTCTGGTTTAATCGCTTGGAATCAAGGCTAGATATGGGTATGCATGGAAAGAGCAGTGAGAGATGAAGAGTTTGCAAGTTGTGGCGTCGGAATTGGTGGCTGGATGGAGGAGAAATAAACGTCTGAAGTTGGCTGCTCGAGGAGGATGCGAGAGAGAAGAAGAATCTGCTGGGTTTTAAAAATTGAACTTCAAAATATTTACGGTTATGCAACTGATCTTCCGTATATCATAACTTCTTTATTATAACTCCGATTTGAGCCCAATACGTGTCTATGGACTCATCTCGACGTGCTCTACGCAACAGTACAACTGAAATCCCCTGATTCCTTCCCGAATAAAAAATCAACTTTTAAACCATTAAAATATTCCCGGGGTAAAATTGTCTTTTACTTGAATAAATTAATAATTAAATATTAATTTAAGATCGGGTTATTACATGTAATGTGTTGCAACCATATTATAATTAATGTACTCATTGAGACAATTTATTCCTTCTCTTCTTTCCTTCCTCTATGCATGACTCTCTTTCTTCTCCTAGTTGGGCATCTATGCAAAGGTAGAATAATGCCTTATTTATAGGTTAAGGAAATGATGCCCGTGAGCGTCCAAGTGATAAGCCTCCAAGATATGGCTGACAAGGAATCCAACATGTGGGCTCCACCCATTATCTTTACGACAAAAACAGGTCTTGATGCATGAGCTCAAGGTAGCGTTTGGCCCCGCTTAAATTTTAAAAAAAGTGGCTTTAATAAAAATTTGGCATGAGTTGGGTGTTTGGTAAACCCAAAAAAACACGCTTATTTTAAAAACACCCATCATAAAAAGCAAAAATTCAAAGTCGCCAATACCCAGCTTTCAAAAGCTGCTTAAAAAAAGAGCCGGTTTTTGGATTAATGAAAGTTTCATTATTCCTATAATGCCCCTAAACATTTTACGAAAGGACAACGTTTGTCCCTCTCACAAAATAGATATCGCGACCTTCACTCTCTCTGAGACCTTCACTCTCTGCTCTTCTCACTTTTCTTCTTTCTTCCTCCCCTATCTCAAAATTCCAGTCTCGATCAAGGAAGAATTCATACTCAAGCGAAGTCAAAACGTGGAGAAGTAAACACCTAACACCAAACAACCAAGTTGTGGGCTTCTGTTGAAGATTGTGCCCAGAAATTACTTGCCCTTTGCATCATATCACATCTGTGATATCTTCACAAGTATAAAATCTCACTGCTTTGTGTATAAAAACAGAGACCCAGATGAGGAAATTCGCAAGCGGCAGACTCTCACCAAAATAAAATCCAATCTTACAATCCCACTCACATACATAGAGCAAAGGACCATGAACTCAAACCTCTCTTGATATGGGTTTGGATTGAGTTTTGGGTTCTAAAATTCTTGATCTGGGTTGTTTTTTAATCGGTGTTTTGAGGCGATGGAGAAGAGAAGAGGAGAGAGAGAGAGAGAGATGGGGTGCGTACGACAGATTTATCATCATGCCTTTTTCGGTCATTATACACACTAAAAGCGCTTCTGATAAAAATTTACCAAACACTTTGACTACTCACAGCAGTTTTTCAAAACTAGTTTACCAAACGCCTAACTGCTTTTTTTCACAGCTGATTATTTTCGCAGCACAGCAGAAGCAGTTTTTTTTAAAAGCACAGCAATGCCAAACTAGCCCCAAGTCCCACTCTTATAATTTAGGCAAAGAAAAAAAGTATAATACTTTTCGTCTTATTAGAGCCATGTTCGGTGCAAAATGCAGGAGAAATTGAGCATATACGTGTAGTAAATATATGGAAGGGTGTAATTGTAAAAGTGAAAAAAACATTGGTTTGGGCGCGAAAAAGGCGGTAGTATTTGGAAGCTGGAGACCCGTTTGACAGCAAGTTTGTTGGAGAGAGGGGATTTGTAAGATTGATGTGGTGGGTGAGAAAAATTCTGAATACGGGGCAGGCATAGGCAAACAGGTAGAAAAACCAGAGAGAGAGAGAGAGAAAGAGAGAGGGGAAGCCATTAGGCCCAGATGAATATCATGTGAAAGGGCATCCTCCTACAACCCACAGCTGTGTTTTTTTTAATCTCGTTTCATTCGCTTACCCATCAGAAAAATGGTCTCATTTTGATGCGGGTATATGCGAATAAAAGGAGATTGTTGAAGAAACCAAAAAAGAAAAGGAAAAAAAATTGAATTGAAAATTTTATCATGAGTAGGAAAAAGAGCCAAGTTTGGGATGTTTCCTCCAATGGCATGGACGACGACACAGCCGTGGCTCCTCCTCCGAAGCCCAGCCCTGAAAAAGAAAGGCTCTACCTAGTCTGGCAGGGTAACAATGTATGATGTTACTATATGCTCATGATGATTATGGGTTCTTTTCTTGTGGAGATCTTGTTTATGCAGAATGTTTGTTTCATGTTTTAAACCAATTGCTCCCTTTTTATGCCTGCCTTGGGGTTGCAGCTTGGTTTTTTGGATTTTTAGATAATAATTCATCATTTGGGATTTTTTTTTTTTGTGTGGATATAATTGTTACCCATTTTACAATTTTTTTGGTCTCATGAGTTTGTTTCTGCGGTTGTCACAAGTACCATTAGGCTTAGGTATAGAATTGGAAGATTGTCTTCCTAATTCTGAATTGAAATATGATTCTCCAGAGGTGAAGTAAAACATACATCTTTGGGAAGTCTAGTTATCTGGGTTAATGGCTCATTCTGTTTAAATGTTGACATTAAATTGCAAAGGAGGTGTTGAGTTGGTATGATGTGTTGTTGTACTTGGAGTTTTTCACCCCCTAGCATGCTTGGCATTCAAATTGAGCATAAAAAGGTTCCATGACTTTGTCCTTTGTATTTTGAGCAGTTCTTTGCTTCTTTTTTCTTCAAGTGAGCTTAACTCTGTCTTGACCCTTTTGTTTTTTCTGTCAAGCCTTAGAACATCAATGTAGGAATCAACTTCATGTACTTTTCTGTTGTTTTAGATGCTAATTTTGCATATTATTGTCAATCCAGTTGTTTGAGAAGCTTCAACCGATTAACGAGACGTAATTGATCTCTTGCCATTCATTGAGAAATCAAGACAATTAATTGCATGGCATGGGGGAGATTATCAAGTTTATAAGTAGAGTGACCAAAGCACCTAACCATTTCAATAAAATAAAATAAAATTTGAAGAAATGATCTGAGAAGCACCTCATCAATTAGTAGTTTCACTATCCGAGGGGTTTAAAAGTTGTTGAACTAAATTTTGAGGTTGGAGGTGCCACACTAACTTTGTAACAGATAGTCTCTTGTGTGTATATCATGCTTATGGAATAATATATAGGGCAGTTCTATCAATTTTTTATTGTGTGGATCAGTTGAGAAGATTAACTTTGTTTCTACCCATGTCCTGCATATAGAAAATTATAACAATTTACCAAACAAATTTTCTGAAAAATGAGGGTGTTATGCATTTTAACCAAGTAATACGAACATATTTATTGTGTTCATGAATGTGTTTACTGTCACTTATTCTTTTGCATTCAAAATCATCCATCTTTGGTAATTTTGTACATCCATGTCGAAAGTGGCTAGAATAACAATTTTGCCTTTGATTATCATACGGACTAACACTTAAAACTTCTCTTCTTGACAGAAATTTTTGTGTGGTGGAAGAATAGTCTTTGGTCATGATGCTGCATCACTGTTTCTAACTAGCTTTTTGATTGGATGTCCTGCACTAACATTCTGCATAAGAATGCTTGTAACGATGAAAGGAGAACATGGACATTATGACTATCCCGTCCTAACTGGGGGAATAATCCTCACTGTTTTGGTTGGTAAATTGAAATTCTTTTTCGTACAGTGGGAGCCTGCTTCACCAATGAAAAACTTCAAATCTGACTTATATTGGCTCATGCAGGATTTCACTTTTCTGTACTTGACATCTGGTAGGGATCCTGGTATCATTCCAAGGAACTCTCGACCACCTGATTCCGATGAGGCATATGATGTGTCTGGATCAATGGAGTGGGTCAATAACAAAGCCTCTAGTTTGAGAATACCCCGAATAAAGGATGTACAGGTCAATGGCCATGTGGTGAAGGTAAAGTTTTGTGACACTTGTTTGCTATATCGTCCACCGCGTGCTTCTCATTGCTCGATCTGCAACAACTGTGTTCAGAAGTTTGATCACCACTGTCCATGGGTGGGTCAGTGTATTGGATTAGTAAGTTTCTTCCCCTGCCAACTATTAACTCTGCAATTTATGTTCTGGGTGTCTAAATGGAAATTGAATAAGGCTGCTAGTTTTCAAGTGGAGGTAATGAAACTTAGAAATTCTTCTGGTCAGTGTATTGCTTTATATTTGAGAATTTGTTGGATATTATGTCCCAAACTCTTCATTTGGCTTTGTCAATTGGTAAAAGTCGATATTCTCAGTTACTTGTGTTGAAGTGAATTCTGTTCCTTGTTTTATAAGAAAAGTCTTTCTTGGCCTAAAAAGGTATTGGTTTTTGTATAACTCTATGAATATATAAGTTTAGCCAAAAATTAGGACAATGGGATATATGTGACCATAAACAAGAGTGAAGAAAACACCGGAAGCAGGAGGAAAAGTTTGTCTTATGGCTTGATACCAAGTAGCAATGTGATGTAGGAAAACCTAAGGGGTCACAAAATGTATGAAACACTCAACCAGACTAATGTTCTTTCATTAAAATGGATACTTTGGTAACTAGTAAGCTATGTGCACCATAAGAAAAAGTAGATGTGGACATGCGTTGGCTAAAATATGGAAGGTTTCAAACTCACAAAATACAATTTACCCATAGGATTCATTAGTTTCCTTGAGGAAAGCTACCTAAAAGAGTTTGTTCCAATATAAAACAATTTGCACTCTTTCTAACCTACCTCTTTCATGTTCTTGTTCTTGCAGCGTAACTATCCATTTTTCATTTTGTTTATTTCATCATCAACCTTCCTGTGCGTATATGTCTTTGTCTTTTCTTGGATCAACATTCTTCAACAAGGTGGCAATCTATGGAGGGCCATGGGACATGACATCGTATCAGTTATTCTCATAGTATATTGCTTTGTAGCAGTATGGTTTGTTGGTGGGCTAACAGTTTTCCATATCTATCTAATTTGCACCAACCAGGTAGACCTCTTTGCTTTCTTATTATTATTCTTTTTTCCTAATCATTTATCAATAATGCAATTTCTTGTAGTCTGGTTACTTTCCTTCTCATATATAAAACTAAGATTATCTGTTAGTTGTCCGTAGTTGTCTGCACTGTATACTCAATACTGTCTTGCAGACATCTATATCTATATTAGAGAAGAATGATAAGGGAGATAATGATACATTCACTGTGCTATGCGTATTTGGGTTCACTTCATAAAATATGATTTAGATTATGCTAAGTACAGGTTTTTAGGCGGCCTACATAAGGAAAAAAATCCCTCCTTCACTGTGCTATCTAGTGCCACTGTTCTGCTGCAGTCAACTTTAACCTTTGATCTCAAAATCCTTAACTGCATTGTTGATTTGGGTTCATCTTTTTCTCATAATAACATCCAGACGAATGAGAAAACTTTGCTTGGATTATCTTTAGGACATTGTTCCTGACAAATATTCAAACTGCCGTATCATCAGTCCTTGTCACACATATTCAAAAAGAAATATGTTGTTTGCAGCTACAAAAGTAATCGAGATGGAAAACTACTGGTCAGGGTAACTAGAATAGATGTATTGTTCTAGGTTTCTTTTCTTCTTTGGGATTGACGATTCTCTTGCTTAATTTGGTAAGAAATGTATCTTTAATGCATTACCTGCCTTGAATTAATGTATAGCTATATACAGGAAAGGGGATGCTACCTATGCATATATGTCATATAGGATGTTGACATGAATTCTAGATTATCGCAAACTCTATCACAGATCTGATAATTTAGGGGTACAGAATAACTAATACTCGCTAACCATTATCTCTAATATACTGAAAGGCTGGTTTGTTCTTGTTAGGCTACAATGTAACTCAAAAGCTTAAACTTGTGGTAGTAGTGATAAACCAACAAAATTTGACATGGTATCAGAACTTTGGTTCTGAGAGGTCTTGGGTGCAGATATATGTTTCTCTATGTCCAGAGTAATGCACCTGAGGGAGGTGGGGGTTAACTTGGAAGACATTGTTGGCTCATTCCTAAATAGCTTACACTTCTTCTTCTTGCTTTTATTTATTTTTCTGGCATAGAGGGGATGTTAAGTTGATGTAAATTTTTGGCACATCCCTAACAACTTAAGTATTTGGGGTACAGTGTTATCTGTTAATTTTGTGCAGAATGAGTTGCGCATATATGTTTCTGTCTACCTCTGCACTTGATAATCCCTACTATTTTTTGGATATGTTATGCATGTATAGTTGCTGCGTGCATATTTTTCATCTTGCATCTACATGATAACAAGATGGCTTATCTTTGTTTACATTGTTTAGCATGACTGTAATTTGAATTCTTACCCAGTGTTCTATTCTGAATTTAGATTTTTTCATTCTGACCACTGCTTTGTCACAGACGACTTATGAGAATTTTCGTTACCGTTACGATAAGAATGAAAACCCATACACTAAGGGAGTACTGGGAAACTTGAAAGAAGTGTTCTGCTCAAGGATTCCACCTTCAATGGTCAACTTCCGAGCATGGGTTTCAAAAGATGACGACATGGTAATGGGATCCATCGCTTCAGAGAGTAACAGAGGCTTCATTGGCTCCAAAGAGAAATTTGACATGGAAAGGGGAAGTAAGTTTGGCAAGGATGGGAATATGATGGTTCCAAGTATTTTGCAGAAATTGGACTACAGTGGGATTGATGATAACATGAAGAAGAAGAATTTGGGTAGCAGTGATTTTGATGATAATTTAAAACGGAAGGCAGCAGATGAACGTGCATTAAATCCATTTATCTTTCCTATTGGTCAAGAACAAAGACGTTCACAGGGAAGTTCCGGCATAGGAGTTAATTCTACTAATGATAAGAGGCCTCAGTAGTTCCAATTGGACAACATCACTGCTTGTTTTCTAAAAAAGAAAAGAGAAAAGAAAAAAAGACAAAAAAGGTATTCTTTCTCTCAGTCTCTTTATACTTTGAATATGGATATTTGGCATTTTTTTTCCATGAAGATATTAGCTGATGATATGTTGCCGGACATCATAGTAAAGTTTATTTTATTGCATCAATGACCTTTAATCTAGTTGCATGAATGTGAATTTGTTTTCGGTGACAAACTTCATATTGCAACAATGTAGGTGGGATGTCCTTTTCCCTAACAAGTTCCAACTTAAGTATTTTATAGTTATCAAGAGGCGGCAACATGAATGCCAAAACTTTAAAGTTCAGAGCATCTCCTACAGTTTGGCACACTTTTCACTTTTTCAACTCCAATGAAACAACTTAGGATCATGTTAGTTTGAGTTTGAGATAAATAATTCCCAATCCCATATTTGAGATAATCCCATTTCACAAATAGCACAAATAGCACTTCACCATTGGAGCAAGTTTGGCAATATCTCATTCCAAGCTATGAATTATAGAATTGGCAATGGCACCTCATACAGCACCTCCTAGCTACTAGAATTTTTGAACCATTTGAAGTCAACAAGCCACTTTGGCTTCTACTTACTGTGGATCTGCAAACTGCAATGGCATTGTCTGTGCGAAAGCAAAAGTAGCAGTGGGAAATGGTTCCAGAAAACTGGTGTAGTTTAGATTTTGTGGAGAAGCTTCAGATATCATATCAGACATTAGCTTTTCTTTTTTGTTCTTTTTTCTTGGATAAAACAGGCATTGGATTTTGCAAAATCACTTCATGTGTTTCTGGACTCTATTTTGCATGTTATGTTCTGCTATTAACTTGTTGAATTAAGAATTAATTTGCAACTCTTGCATAGTAATTGGTTGACCTTACCTTGTCTTACTGTTTTTGCTCAGGTTTTGGTGCAGAAAACTTTTTCTCAGTGCATGTATGCCATATGACAGATTGGCTGAACATGATGGGTGCTTAAAAATGCTAATTTACTGAGATTGGAGGTAGAATTTGAAGGTCAGTGATGTATTTTTAATGGAATGAAGAAAATGAAATTAATTCATTATTCTGCACATTCTTGTGTTCAATCTCTCTCACCCCAACTCCTATTTTTATCCTACTTCATTACTGAATCTACAAAACTAGAAGAGCTGTGATATGGCACAAACGGGTGCAATAAATAATAGCTCGGTACATATTAAAAAAATAAAAACAAATGAAGGTGCTGCATTAAAGAACAATTTTACAGGGTTGAGTTCTTTTCTTTCTTTAGCTTTTAGGAACTCATGTAATTTATCTTCTCTTTTTTCTTCTTTTTCTGGGATTAGAGGATGTAGATTATGTGAGCTAATGGTAATTAATTAAAAATGGACCATGCAACACAGGCTTTACGTTTCGTTCTATAATAGATGCATATCCAAGACTGAAAATACGGCTTCTGCTATTGCTCCCACTTTCCTTTCTTTCCAGTTTTGCTATGAATTTATATCCAAGTTCAATTACTAGGCTGACCTTACCACAAATAGGCCAGGTTTCAAACCCTGTCCAAGAACTAAAAGGCCCGTTTGGTAGGCTAGACTAGACTGGATTGGATTAACCCTTTTATATTACACTGGACTGTTTGGGATATGACTGGAATTTTAGTAATTGTTTGGTGCAGTACAACACCAAAGTCTGGACTGCCATTATTTCATTTTTATTTTTATTTTCATTTTCATTTTTATATTCTCATTCCCAAATTAATTTTAACAAAATCGATTTTCAATCCAACAAAAAAAAGATTTTCAAACTTCAATAAGTATCCATAGCAGCTTAACTTGTTAATATGGAGGAGGAAATAGAGAAGTCTTTTTCCAACTTGCAAAACAGAAAGATGAAGCTTAAAGATTTCAAAATTTCCAATTCGTAGTTAACTCTTGTTGTGGAGTCAAATTTACATGAAGCATCGGCCCAAAGGGTGTGAGGCCCAATAGAATCTTTTAGCCCAACAATAATTGCAAAGAGACATTTGGGTGCATTTTAAGGGTATATTTTACAAATATGTTTGAAGGCTCTTCCAAAGAAAGCAAAAGGCTAACGTGTTGAAGTAAAATAATTCAATTTTTGTTTAAGCACACGACCTTCAAAATCAATAGAGCGGCTCTTGTATGAGTGGAAATTATTTCGTGTGAGTCCAGTTTGGGAATTTTAGTTATTATTCGATTAATTCCCAAGAGATTTAATTTGTTAAGCATTTATCGAGAACTAAGAAGCTTCTCAAAAAATGGAGACATAACTCTTGTATCATTAGACATATTTCATAAAAGAGGTTTACGTCTAAGCAATCACTTAACAAACAAATTTAAAAAGAAGAAAGAAACAAAAAAAACAACAAAAAAAAACTGTTGAATTATCACTAAAAGCAAAATAATAGTCTATAGATGACTATAGGGCTCGTCAATGGGCCGGGCCGGGCAAGCCAGGCCCAAAATTAACGGGCTTGGGCTGGGTTGGGCTGGGCTCAAATAGTAAATGAATATTATCGGGCCGGGCCGAGCTGGGTTTTATTTAATAAATCCAAGCCCAGGCCCGATCCATGGAACGGGCTTTAATGGGCTTTATCGGGCCGGGCCGAAATGAGCTTACTAATAACAAGTCAAATTTATGAAATTCATTTCATTCCTGTTAAAGTATGAAGCTCACAAAATGTGAATGTCTTACAAATCTTATACAACCATTAAAATTATACCCTTCTAAACAAAAGGTCTTACAAAATCACAATCTAATACAACCAAGTTATGCAAAATCAAATTAGATTCACTCACAATCTCATCAAAAGCTTCACTGAAGGCTTACTCAAAAGCATGATAATGTCCCAAAGTCTGTTACTACAATTAAAATCCAATGCTTGCAAAATAAAATATAGTCGTATTACATAACATTTCAACTTTGAATGGTCTCATTTTCAGATTCACCAACAATCTCAACTTCACTGTCTACCATCCAATCTGGTCTTGATGCTCTAATGTTCATTAATTCTTCAGCTCGTTGCTCATCCACCAATGCATCTTGCTTTCTTGAATCTGCCAAGCCCCAATCTTTCAAGCAAATTAAAGCTTCTATTGTACTCGGACTCAAACTAGCCCTTTTCTCCGATACAACTCTACCACCTGCACTGAAACATGATTCTGATGCTATAGTAGAAGCTGGAATAGTTAGCAAATCTCAAGCCATGAGGGAAACAATAGGGTATAATGATTGATTGTTTTTCCACCAACCCAAAAGACTAAATCGATTGTCATCAACAACTTCTATTGTTGGTAAATCAAGATAAAATTGTAATTCAGAAGTGTTGGTGGAAGAAGAAGAAGAAGAAGAAGATAGCTTTTTCCTTTTCAAGCCTTCAATAGAGAAATTTCTCATTATAGGGACAGATATAGAATCAGGAGTTTGGCTAGTAGAAGTTGCAACAACATTTTGCACATTTTGAACCACATTAGGAATTACATTCTTCTTGTAGATATCAAATAACTGAAATAATAAAGTCTTTATAGCTAAAACTTTTGAGTCAATGGTTAATTGATCAATACCTATCATGTCTAACCATTCAGCAATTGCATATAATTTAAACCTAGGGTCCATAATAGTAGCAAAGCAAAAAACCATAGGAAACTATTTCCAATATTTATCAAATTTTGTTTTCATTTCAGTCAAAGCATCCTTAAAAACAGAAAATTCAGAATATGCAGCAAATGATCCATGAATATCTATTAAACAATTAATAACACGACTTGAAGTAGGATAATACACACCAGAAAATACCTTAGTTGAAGAATAAAAAATTTGTAAAAACCCACTAACAAGTTGTGCTATTCTCCAATCTTCTTCACTAGGTACTTGTAAATTACAAAAACGTGATTCATTTACCTTTTGAACATACCTATGCAAAGGGGCTTTATACTTTATAGCAACATGTAAAAGCTCATACGTTGAATTCCACCTATGAGGCACATCAATATCTATATTTTTCTTTCCCATATGGAAATCACTACAACATTTCACCCAAATTTCATGTCTCTTGTTAGATGAATTCATGCTACGAACAATATCAGTAATTTTATCAATAGAC